ATCGAATAGCTCTAAATGTTAGCACTCGCCCTAGTTCCCTCGATTCTTCCTACGAAGAACTTTAAAAAGAGGATAAAATGGCCGAAAATCTAGTTGGTTTCAAGCAAAAGGTTTCAAGTTTGCATCGTCAGCATTCATGTCAGGTGGATGGAGTGACACAAGCGATGACCGTTGTAGACATCCTCACAGACCAAAAATCGGTTCACTTAGGCAACCTACTGCATTTCTCGTTTGTTTTTTTTAATAAGACAGTAATTTCTCTGTCAATGACTCTGGTGACGATGAGGTAAACGTGTCCGACTTCTGAGCCATCTAAGTTAGCTTGCCAACAGAGGTACCGCTAAGGCCAGGCACATCTACCGCGACCTCATTACTTTCGGTTTGGAGGAAAATACCAGTGCCCTTGCTCGAGATCCACGTCCGTCCTACATACGTACAACTACACGAGTACAGAAAATGGGCTAACTCGGGAAATGTTAATTAAATTTCCATAATTGGTTCTTGATTGAAAACTATTACTTAAATAAGGTTTAAATATTTATTATCATGCAACATAATCCCAAGGGATATCAGTCACATCAGAATGCTAGCTTTTGAACGAGCATCTTCCGGCCGCCTGTAGAAACTACACCTTGTAAATATGACCCGTTCCTGCTACTATTTCTGCTTATATCTCTGATGAAGGATTCGCCACGGATTTTAAAAGGCCAGGCGAATAAGAGTCTTGTCCCAGCGATCATATCTTCTTCTCAACGACTACTGAAATAGTACGGATTTTGACAGGAAATTTAGTTACCTTTATAAGTTCAAATATCTTTTATAGATCGCATGCATTAAAAGATTCGTTCTCGTTATCATATGATTGCAAATTACATATTCTTTAAATTGTATATTTGAAGAAGGGGTAAATTCGGTTTTAAAATTTCCCAGTAATTCTGAGCCCAACCTGATGTTATAATTACATCCATGGTTTTCAAACTCTAGGCCGCACTTTTTCCATGTAAGAAAAATCCACCGTTTTTTGCGCTCTTAAAAGTTTGTAGTGCATGTGGACCATTTTTTATACCTTAAAAACATTAATAGTAAATGAAAAGATACGATACTTTATGAATGGACATTTTCGGTCTTAAGAGTCTCAGAATAGGTAATTTTTTAAAACCGAAAACGACCTCTTTTAGAGCATAAATTGGAGAATACGCAATTTTCTACCAAATGAATGCAAAAACGAATATTTTATTCATGCTGTCCTTAAAATGTATTAAAACGGCATCCAAAATTACTTTTCAAAATCTAATATTATTTGAATAGTCATATTTGCATAATGTAATTTTTGCATTCTGCTGGAAAGAAACCCGTTTAAAAGCCAACGTCCTGACTTGACTGAACTGTTGCGCGATAATTACTATAATAATCCGATTTTGTTAGGCTTTTCTAATCGAAAACACACTTTGCAATTTCTGTCAACACTTCATGAGATAGCCCAATTATTGAAAGCGTAAACAACATGAGATATAAAGCAGTCCTTATCTAAACGGGATTGAGGGATATTTTTGATTAACTCTTCACTACCACTCAGACTAACCTACTGCTTAACTGCGAATAATGCAGAACCAGTCCAAAGTTTCCGGCAGTAAAAAGAACAGTAGTACTATGCAAATGGACGTATCTTGTAACTGATTTGGCCATTTTGTGAGGTTATTTGCCGTTCTCGCGACTTGGCAACCCCATCTAAGGCCATTAAAACTAGGTTCGTCCAGACATTTCCGAAGAGCTTTCCAGAAAGTTTCCCTATCTCCCAGCCTTGTTGGAAACTGAAGTGTCAATCCGCATTCCTTCGAATCCAGGAGTCTCCCACATATGTATTGCTACCTAGCCTCTTGATAAAAACATCAATCGCTTGTTCGTATTCTTAGCGCGAAATGCAAGCTGACAGTAATTGTCTGCTTTTATTTACTTGACTAGAACTAAAATTGGTACAGATCGGTGCGCTAGTCTAATTAACATTTTTAGGTTCGGGCGCTAAAGCCTTGTGACCGCAGCGGATAAAGTAACCCGGCTTTCATTATTTTCTGAATGGGCATTTTGTTCCGTAAACTGATGGCTGTGCGAACCAGCCAGGGAACAGAGTTGAAATGCCCCGCCATTGTAGTATATTTCGCCGAGCAGAACATCGTACACAGGGAAAATTGAAGACATTTGGCGATCCCCTGACCACTGTATAGACAAGCAGTAACGCCCTCAA